GTCTTTTGTTAGTTTTTTTGAGGTTACTCTCACACCTAGAAAAATGGTATCAAAACGAAGATGAAGGTAGGTATTAGAAGGAAGAGACTACAAAAGTCAGACTATGTGTGAGCCTTGGCACTGATTTCTGCTTGTGAGCTACTCCTTATTTTGTAATTTTGCTTTAGCCAAGTGCAGCGATCTCAACGAGGTTCGTGCCTAAAAATAAGTGTGGGAAAATTCAGTATGCAAAATCATGAGGTGCTTCCCTAGTAGGGAGGGATCTTGGAGTGCTTTCCTAAATCAGGACTGCAGAGAAGATGATGATAAAGAAAGAAGAAAACACAGAATGTGCAGTCTGTCGGGGTCTAATTCAGTGTAAATATCTAGCTATCATTAGCTGTTGAAGAAATTGGTGAGCCTGATTTGTGGGTATTTTATGATGGAAATTTGAGTTTAGTAGAGATGAGTTTTGCTAGATCTATAGCAGGAAACATGTGATGTTTATTTGTATCACTCCATGACATTTGTTTTTTACAGTTCACGTGTTTTTGTCATGACAATATTTCACATTGGGAGAAAAAGGTGAAAACCAAACAAGCCATATACTATTTGATCATGAAGTAAAGAAAACACTGTATATTTTGTGCAGAACTGGTAACAAGCCTGAAAAGCATGAAAATGTACCAATGAACTGGTCCAGATGACATGCATCTCTGAGAATAAGGTAATTCATTACAGAATGTAATGGCTCAGTGACAGTTGTTTATGGAAGTTCATGGAAATCTGAGAGAAAGATAGAAAGCAAATAGGACACAGATCTTCAGAAAAAGAAGGCAACAGAAAAAAGATAAAAGACTCAGAATCACAGTCAATTACAATTCACTAAACCTAATTTTAAACCATCATAAAATAATAAAATTATCATTAAAGATCCACATCTACCTGGGGGATAGTGGAATAATGAGCAACTAACGAAGCAAACACCACAGTGCCAAGGTGGTATGTGTGACAAATCCTCCTGAAGAAAATTAATTGAGAGCCCAAAATCCTGGGTGAACATATTCAAATAATACAACTTAAAATTGTGATTTTTTTTCATGGGAGGAAGTGTTCTGGAAACCTACAAGGTTGCAATTTGGTTCTGTTACAGGTTTTCTGGTGTAAAACACCACACTGAATTTCAAGGCCTAAGGGCTGTCTGCCTCTTCAAGCAAAAATACCTGAATGCCCAGAGTGATGGATATGGAAAAGAATAGAAGTAGATTATAGAGTCTTACAAAATGATAGAGCGCCACAACAAATCAATGCACTTTGGGGTTGCTGGTGAAGGTAAGTTATATCCTCTGACTGCACAGAATAACTGCTCTTTATGTAATCACACCTGGCATATGGCATTAAATTGCAATACCTCATTATCCATCCTTACAAAACACGAAAGAATTCGAGGGAATTCAGATCCGAAGAAGAAAAATTATCGGACTCTTGGAAAGACTGATACACAAAGAGAGATTAAGTAGCTTAAATATATAGCTTATCTAATCAATAATTAAGCAAGGGAAGGATAATGGCTTAAAAATATGTAAGAGAAGGATAATTATTTTGCATGATGCATAGTCCCAATTCAGCACAGTGCTAAAACACGTGTGCAGATCCATCAGCCCTGCGAAACACCAACGTACGTGATTTCAACGGAGCTTAAGCACATACCTAAATTTAAGCATGCATTGAAATACTTTGATTAATTTGGACCATAACCACAAGTAATGGTATGAAATTAAGAAATGCAAAAATGTAGGCTGAACAGCAGGAAAATCTTCCAAACGGTGAGATATATGAGGTTGGGGAGTAATCACTCAGGGGAATTGGTGGAAACCTTATCCCTGGACAGCTTTCAAGTTTTGCTGGACAAAGTACTGGGAAACTATCCTTTGGGGAATAATCTTCCTGTTGCCTCTGGAGACAACTGCACGACCTATTGTAACTACTCTGTGTCTAAGTTTTTGTGGACTGACTCAGAGCATTACACCTGAGACACAATTTTAAAGAGCATCAATAGTGTAACATCTGAAGCTCTTCCTTGCCTCCCCCCACAATTTATCATTTTTTCTCCCCATCTTCATTATATGTAATGTTATGAGAGGAAAAAACCCACCCCCACCACACTTTTAGCCTAGTAGTTTTTTGTCTTCTACTCACTAAGCATTGATTTTATTCTCACCTCTGCATTAAAAGAAAGCTTAAAGATATATAGGAAATCTAATTTCAACTTGTAGGGCTTTGCTTCATTCCCAGAGCATATGTGGTGAATATTATCAGAGAGGTAATCGTATCTTGGAGAATCTCATATCTCTGAGCAATCCAATGGAAGCAGTATTAAAGATTTGGGGGTTTTGGTGGTTTCTTTTGTTGGTTTGTGGTTTTTTGGTTGTCATTTTTTGTTTTGTTTATTTTTCCTCTATGCGGACCCTTGAAGAAGGGCTGTTCCAAAAAGGACTTTCCCAAGGATGGAGCCCTCTGAGGGCTTTTCCCACAGGGGATAACAATTTTGGTGAGCCAAATATGATGGCCTAAGGACAAAGGTTTTTTAATTACTTTAAAATCTACTTTTTCTTAAAGTAAACATCTGTAGAAGAATGTGTATTGTTCATTTGGACTTTTGGAGGTATTTTGCAGCCATGTGGGAAAGGACAGGTGTTCTCTCACATGACTTTGCAGAGATCTATTGGAAATGGAAACAGTTGAGATAGATCTGTTAAAACTTTTGGATTTCCCTTCCCTGACCACAGTTGCCATTCTTCCTTTATTTTTGTAGAGTCAGTGAGATAAGCCCTGAATTTATTATTGGGAAAACAGCATTTATATTTATTGGTATTAATTTTCCACAGCACATCAATGCTGAATAGCAGTTCTTAACCTCAAAGGCACATTTCTGTGCCTGTCTAATTAGAAATTCAGCTAGGAACATATGTGAGCATCTTCCTGACTCATGGTCTGAGTTAACAAACAAGATTAATTAATTTCTTTATCCCATTGAAAAGGATGGTCTAGCAGGCCTCCATCACGGAGGATCCTTAAGAGTTTGTTAAGGAAAAAGCTGGGCAGGATAAAAGCTGGGCAGGATAACAAACTGAGTGGATCTTCCATTGGGCTTCA